GGTATGTTTAGCCAGTGGGACAGTAGCGGCTGGGGCAATGGTATATCATGGAGCTACAGATATTCTATTAAATGATGTGCAGGATAATATACAATCGTGACAATGTATCTCTGTTTATTGGGGAAACTCCTGAAGTCTCAGAAACATGCATCTTATCTTGAGACCTCAACACATACAACTGAAGTTATGTTCATGGCCAGACATCACTAGGAGCATGATAGATTTGGGCAAATTGATCCTTTAAGGAGCAAGAGCAGTTGGAATGTTAACGGCAATTATAGCCTGAAGCATGTGAGCACAATAAATACAGCATGTCAGATAGGCATACATTACATTTTCTACTTTTAATCTGAAAAAGAATGGAATGTGTTTACTGAACTGCTGATACAGTTTGAACACACACACACACACACACACACACCTAAAAGTCCATCTAATTGATCACACCTATACGAAAGACAAGGGTCAAAGAGTTAGGCTTAGTGCTACAAGGAGGAATTCAATTATAGTCCCAATATAATTTTTCATTTTCTCTCCATCGATATGTCCCATAAATAGAGTCAGTCAAAGCACAGGAGGGTATTGAAAGATGAATTCATGTGAGGTCTGGGTGATAAAACAATATCAATAATTATCACAGTGTAATTTTCATTAATACCAATATAACGAAAGTCCAATATATATCAATATGGCGTTTGTGAAAGCACAGTGAGGAGGTATAGCACATAACTGATCCATCTCAAGTTTGTAAGATGTTTTAGACATGTGTTTTCTGTTCATGAAGATTTTAAAGAGATTAAAAGCACAACTTTCACTGAAGAGCAAGAATCAGACTTTAAACCTAAGGATCGATGATGTGACTTTTATTACGATGGTCATCGATATCGACTGATATGATCTTGATATCATTATTAGCTCAGATGCATGTTGTGACACTCACATTATCCAACAGCAGACACAAACCCAGCAGGGCAGCTCCATGACAGGAGTTTTAATCTGGGGAATTTAAGGAGCTGCTTTGACTGTTCACTGAAGTCAACTTGCTTTCACAGCCCTGCAGTGAGCATGGAGCAACAAGGTGTCCTGGTTCACTGCTGCACACACTTTGTTTCCTCAAGTGGATATATGTACATGTAGTGCTCCAATGAATGAATGAATGGATTATTAAATATTCACGTTTCCACAGGACACACCATCACAACAGAGCATGAATTCAATCTGATGCAGTGTGTGATCCAGAGTGTTTTACTTGTTTCACACATCACTAAACAATATACACGCAGTGACACTACCGTGTCCTTTCTCCTGGGCTGTCACCTGGCTGTCACACGAGCAACTTAGGTCACCGTTAGCAGTAGCATGCTAGCTTCGTGCAATAGGTGAAGAACTAAAAGGTTAAAAAGGTTTAATACGTCAACACGCAGAGCATCTGGGGCTCAGAAGTGTCTGACATCAGTCTGACTGATTCCACCGTGTCTGTGTTGACAGTGCGGTTAGCTGCGTCCACGTCCAGCTAGCTAACTGTAACTTAGCAGGCTGGGAGCTAACTAGCTAGCCAGACAGGCCCGCCGTGTGTCTCCGGGCAGCAGTTGTTTTAACTCACGTAACAAACCGGTGCTTCACACGTCCACGTCCGCCTGAGTTCACCTACAACCGGTCTGTGCGACCGTGAGCTCGCAGGATGTGTGTTTACCTGCTGGGATGTGAGATCTACGTGTAAGGCTCGGGAGGATGAAGCTCCAGAGTTGGTGACAGAGGCGGCGGGGATGGCGAGAACCCGACCGGTGATGGAGTTCATCCTCCTGGCGGCATCGAACGGTTCCCCCTCATTCAACAAAACATCCCATCCGCGACCTCCAGGACGTCAAAGTAAGCGGAGCTCCGGACACAGGAAGCGGGGGACCCGCGCACACTGTGGGGCAGACGCTACAACAGCTGTCAGCTAAACGGGACGTAAACAAAGTGCAGGCTAGTTGCTACTCTCTGCTCACAAATCCGTCTCCGGTGAGGAGCCGCGTCAGTGAGCTCGGGGATTGGCTCAAATCAGCGTCCGTCACACAAAGGCGGTCCCCAGCGAGGGAAGGCCGCGTTCCTATTGGTGCTCGCGTCTGTTTATCTCCCAGGACGGGGCGGGTGCTCGGTGAAATCTGTCAAAGCTGCGAAATATGAGGAAGTTGCAGAGCGCGGCGTGACATGCAGCTGACGGCCCCGCGTTAACGTCCTGCCCGGTTCTCACGCTCGATCTGCACCAGAGCAACTGTGGAAGAAGAGGAAGAAACATTCTGAGAGGACAAGCTGCTTTCACTGATTCTGAGTACATCGGATTGATCATTTCTCAATTGTGTTCTCTGTTTTTCTAATATTTCCTGTGCAGGAGACCCAGTAACATTAAATCATTTCAGGGACGTATGAAAGTGAAAGTACTGTCAGGGTAAAATTTAATTGTGTTATATTACAAAAACAATAAAAGTAAGTAATGGGACTTTTCAAGGAAACTCAAACACAATTTGAGATTAGAGGATAATTATAGTATATTTATGTATAACGAGCTATATCATATTGTTAGATTATTATTCATGATGCATGATCTTATCAAATGCAGCATTAATGCAGTGGTGGAGATTACTATGCTAAACTAAGTAACCCACATTAAAATATAACAGATATAAACCAAACGCATAAATAAGTGGTTAAAATGTGCATACTCGATTCAATGAGAGTGATTAAAACTGTTGACATTAATTTAATAGGACCACTTAAAAGTGGGTTCATGGCACAAAGCAGATGAATGAATGAGTGAATGTTGCTTTAAAGCCTCGTTGGTGATTTATTCATTCAGCACAAGAGCTTGAAAATGTATGCGCGTCTACTTGTGGTGTTACGGTGAAAAAACAGACGTTGTCTACTTATTGTGGATGTTTAATGGAATAACTAAAAACGATTTTTGCGTAAATTTTATAGAAGATTTTATAGAGGTGTGTGTGTTTGTGTGTGTGTGCGTGTTTTAAAATAAAATTAAAGGTAAAATTGGCTCAAATCTCATTTTGCTGTGGAAAGTTTGAGAAAAAATTAGGTAAAACCATCTGAAGTCAATCTAATTAAAAATGTATTTCAAAAATCCTTAAGAGGTGAAAAATAATTTTCACGTCACTGTTGTTCATGGGGACACCTACTGTCTGCACGTGAAGTTTCAGAAAATTTTAATATGGACATTTTGAGAAAATTAAACTGAAAATCAGTTAAATTTCAATATGAAACTCCTTACATCCATAGCAATGTAAAATGTGTAAAAGTATTAACAATGCCTATATAATGATGCATTTTCTGGTGAAATGCTTTCTGAGGCTAATCCTTTCTAAGTTACTTAGTTATTTACAGATTCAGTTTGACAGCTGTGGTTCCATACAGAGCGTAGAGATGGACCCAGCACAGCTCTAACATGCCAAAACTGCAGAACTGCTGTTTGTGTAAACTTGTGTCAAACAATTGTTCTTTTCTTTTCTCTTCCACTGATTTTGTTTGTGGATGATTTTGTAGCATCGATCTAGGAATGTTTCAAATTTATTTGATTTTCTGCAATTGTAGGACAAGAGCATTGGCCAGTGCCAGGACTCTATTGTTTTTTTTAGTTATTGTTCTTCATGAATATATTTATGCTTGCTCCTTTTTGTTTGTTTTTTCAACCTAAAAGTAACAAGGGAAAAATTTAAAAATATTGTGCTCAATAAAGTCAGTGTGTCTGATTGTAAGAATGATCTTTTCAGTAGAAAATAAAGAGTGGGGTGAGAATTCTAATTCACCTCTTATGGATTTTGTTTTATAATATCTTAGCTAATAAGACCAAATGCCATGACCTTTTGACCTGCTCAACTTTATCCCGTTACCCCAATCCAGTACAACTCATGCAGCTTAAATATCGTGTGTTGGTGAAACAAGTGCTAGAACTACACACTGTTTAATCTGTAAAAATGTAGGCGGTTGTGTTTTGTTAGCTGATTATTCTGTATGGAAAATGTTATATCAGATAAGTGTGAAGTGAAAGTCAAATGTTTCCAGAGAGGAAGTATTTAGTAGTATCCTACAATGTGACAATACCCAAGTAAAGGTACTTCAACATTTTACACAAGGGCTGTATTGGAGTAAATGTACTTTATTCTTTGACACTGTTGAATGCTGTGCTTACTCTACTAAATGAATGATTAATGAATGAAGCATTGACATATGAAGCCATCACGCTGACTGAATTGACTGTTTCATGCTCTCTCACGTATTTAAAACAGGCTCTGTCTGTTCATCTACTGGCCTACAATACAAAACAAATTTAAAAAATATATGTTTAGGGGTGTGTAGAACTTTGGTGCAGATCCAAATAAAAATCCAGATCTAGTGAATTTAAATGTGTTTTCAAAATGGGACTTTGAACGCCATTCTGCACAATGCAAAATGATTTATAAGATTTTATTGTAATATTGTTTTTACATTCAGGTATTATTACTATAACATGAGAAAAAATGAGTAATTTTTTCCACTACAGCCAGTTTTAGTATTGTTTAGGTCAAACCTTACCGACCATCTCATGGTGTGCCGCTGAGAGTCTACAATCCCAAATGTGATATTAAGTAAGGATTGAAAAGTTTCAATAGATACCATATATTATTTTAAAAGTATATAATACTATCTAAAATCACCTGGAATATTTTATATTTGATGGAATGATGTAGTCATAAAACCACTGATTCATTAGATTTCATATCAGATTGAGTAAATGTAAAATATTGTAGTAACAAAATACTATACAGTGTATAATACTGTCAGTGTGGTAGATTATTTACCGTCCTACTAAAGGTACATTTATACATGAATATTGACACTGCAGGAATACATATTGTACAATAAGGAAGCCCTAATTGTTTTGTTCTACAGTGAACTCACACTATCAAAGTTCAATGACGTCCTCTGAAGTAAATATGTGGAAAAAGACAAGACAAGACACACACATGTCCTTCTGAAAACATAAAAAAGTTTAATTTAAATATCGGCAGACAGATGATGCCACTCATCACATAGACAGGTCTCACTGTTTATTGCTCGCAAAATTACAGCATAAGGATTACACTGCTCTTTACAAGGCACATTGGTGAGAACAGGGGATATTGCTCTTCAAAAAGACAACCCTATAATTTACTGCCCAACATTCCCAGGATAGATCCTCTAGTCTTATAATTGTATTTGACACAAGTACAAGTGACACCCTCAAATATAACTTACTCCCAGCAATAAGGCATTCTCCAGTGTAATCCCTTCCTCTTTAGTCATCACCCATGGAATGATTACAAAGGGATGTGTTCAACACGGGAATCACTTTCACCCACAAAACTCTTTTACCTTCTTCAACGGCAGCTCACCAAAGCCAAGTTTGCCATCAACACCTGAGCATATACAGACAGCACCTACCCATCCTCACCTGCACCCCAGTGGGACAAGAAAGGGAAATCAAGCCAACAAGCACAATGACCATCTTGGAAATGATTCTCATATCAATAGCTTCTTGTCTTGAGACCAAAAACCTCACAAGGTAATCACAAATACAAAAAGTGCATCAGAAATATTCATTTAAAGAGGCTTTGCCCCTCTCTATAGAATAAAATTAATACTATATGGCACTGTAAAATCATGGGCACTTGTGTATTGTGCATTAACAATATGGATCTGCCGTGTAGAGTTCCTCCACACAGTAGAAATTCACATGTATGTGTGGGGGGGTCAACATAGGTCTTTGGCTCGATTAACCTTTGGGCTCATTGTCCCAAAAATAAAGTGGTACCCTCCTTTTGCATTGCTTGTGCATTTAGCATGTTACAGGGTTTTTAAGAGTTTAGGGAAAATTATATGAATGCATGAGTGAAACAACACATCGGCACCTCTTATAAATTCTCCAGCTCCATCTAGTGGAATTTCCCTGCCTCTGCACCCAGAAAACACAAGGCCTTCGCTGAGAAAACAGAAAGAAAAAAAAAAAAAGGCACACTTTGTGTAACTTTAACCAACTAAGGTAGTTTAAACTGGTGACAGCAGCAGGGACAGATGACGATTCTTCAAACCTTTCCTGAGACAAAATTGTGCTTATGTGTGTGCGTGTGAGAGAGAATGCAGAGAGCAAAGGCCTCTGTGACAAACATGCTCATGTGTAGAGTTTGCATTCCAGAGATGATCCAACCTGAGCATCAAGATTGGATGGGAGGTGCAGGGAAAGGGAGCAGAGGGGGTCTGATGATACAAAAGTTCAGAGCTTCAACAGGAGACCCCCCTCCCTCTCACTCCATCCTTTTATTGGATGTACAGGACATCACTTTCTTTCAGGCCGAAGCGGGTCTTGTACTTGTCAAAAAGGCACTGCAGAGACTTGATGTACATCGCATGGTAGAGATCCACGATCTCTTCGGTTGGATCCTCAATCTTTGGCACTGTGATTGGCTCCCCAACTGTAAAAAACCAAAAAAACATAAAGAAGTGAATGAAACAAATCCAACAAAAAGGCTGAAAATGTTAGAACAAGCGTTAACCATTAATGCACCCTTGTGGCAGGAAGAAGCAAATATTGACATTAGCTGTTCAGTTCATCTGTGTTGTTTAAATCTGACCAAACACTCAAACCAAACAGTAACAGACAAACTTACCGATGGTGGTGATCGGGTTGCAATAAGGCACGATGCCCCAGGAGTTTCCAAAGAAGAGGCCACATCCATGGAAAAGACACGGGGCAAAGCCTATGATTTTCTGTAATCTCTTCTGGAGATATTTCCAGTAGGTTCCCTCCTCAAAGATCACCTGCTTGTAGGCATCATTCTCTCCGAAGGAATACACTGGAACCAGGTCAGACCTGAGGGGATGGTTAATGGAATGCATTTATATAGTGCATTGACACAATAACACACACATTCACACAGCGCTTCTATGCACAGGTCTTTTTCCACTTTACTATTTGCTACTATTAATTTTATTAATTACTGATTTATCATACTTTCTTCATTAACTGCTTCTACTTATTCTTACTATATCTCTTTAATCTCAACTTTTATTTAACTCTATTTTAATATTTTTTATCCTTATTTTCCTTTCTTCTAGTTTACAAATTAATTCATCTTTTTATCTAAATTCTACTGCGTGCCTCAGTCTCAAATTGTTTTTAATTGTTGAATTTGAATTTGAATTGTTTCTGTACTTTGCTCGTGCTGTTTTTTTTCCTTTGAACTGCGCTAACCTGCATGATAGGGGCCATATAAACAAAGGTTGATTGAGTTTGATTGATTGACCTCAGAACGAAGGAACCAGGTTGAACCACCGACCGCCTGGTTAGCGGACGACCCGTTCTACCTCCTGAGCAAGTTGGTCTCAGCAAATGTTCAGCTATGAAAGCATTGCTGACAATGCCAAAAGATACTTTGGTGTGCAGAGCATCATTTCAAGAAATCTCTCAAAACAGCATCAATATAATGAAATATGTCAGTGAAATATTTTATATGAATATTATCTATAATCTAAACTGACTTTTATAAATGATAACAGACTTGTTATGTGGGGTTTTTTGTGAATGCAACGTGCCAATCATCATGAATGACTTGAGGTTACTGGTCACATAGGCAGGCAGTGGAAGTCCCCATGGAATTTGTGAAAGCAAAAAAAACTGTGGTTTTATATTCAACGTCACTTATTGTGTAATCAGGAATCTCTCTGGATTGTTATCACCCTGCATCTGCAGGCAATTCATGAAAAACAACATTTTCACAGAAAGTTGTTTTGGAAGTCTGTTTTGTTACTGCATTTCCAGGTAAATGTTTTTCATATCTTTTTAACTGCAGCACAATTTTCAACACTAGTACTTCAAAGATAGCATCAGACAACCCTCATCACAAAGGTTATATCGTTTTTCTGCCCCAAGAGCTAAAACTGTCCAATATTTTTAAAAAACAAACACATGAATTATGAAATCATGAAGCTTAAACATTTTTTTGTTTCGTCTCTCCTTGTGGGATGCAAGTCAGGAGTTCCGTCCTATTTGCCGTCTGAAACATGGATTTAAAGACAGAAACCTTCTTATGACTGGTTTCAAAACCACATAGCATTAAAACTAAAGCTGTAAAAGCTCCAGAAAGTTAACATAAAGTGACCTCAATTCACAGTCTGGGCTTATTTCAGCTGAAATGCTAACGTGGTTGTTATGAGTGAAGCTCTGCATAACTGCATGTCTTTTCTAGCAAACTCTAAGCTTCTTGGGACAAGGTGTACCCAGTAATAATCCTCAGCAATATCTGAGAGGGAATCTGGCTTGTTTGGGTTAGCAAGACAAACCCAGGGCCATGTAACCATTAAAGGGATAGTTCACCCAAAAATTAAAATTTAGTCTAAGTAAATTGGTCACCACTATGCCGCTGTGATTTATGTGTAAGAAGGTGGCACCAGAGGAGGATATCAGAGACATTTAGGATAAAAACATGGTGTAAAGGATGCGATTACGAGTTGAATTTGAATGTTGGGGCTTATGGACACCTGGAAACTGCAGGAGCAGTATGGATTTCATGTTTTTCTCTGTTGTTTTATTTTACGTACGAATGAATGGTCGAATCTGGCTGCAACATAGTTTACCCCTGAAACTCCAAAAGAGTTCTGTGGTCTCAAACACTTCATCCACCCCTCCATCGACATAGTGGTGATTAGATAATGAGTGAATTTTCATTTTTGCCTTTAGGTATCCCTAACGTACTTGAATGTACTGTTGTGCCCAGCCTGGCACACACAGTCAGACCCTTCCAAATGTCACAAGGAGCTGAAGGCTTCATGAGGGACAACACTGCACATTCATAAAAATGTGTTAGTGTTCTCTGTGAGGTAACTTCAACCTTTCTGGCTGTAATAATCTGGGGTTTTAATCATTCCAATGCCATGGGAACGACATTTATGTGATCAGAACAGATTTGGTTGTGGCCACGTCTAATCGCTGTGTCTGCACGTGTCCTTGTGTTTGCATGTTGTGCAGCCAGCTCACCCTTTCTGCAGGGCCAGCCTCACAAAGCCTTTACGGTTCTTCAGGGTGACAGTGTTCATGCCTGGTGTACAGTGCAGAGACTCTGCTGCGCCTCCGACAACGATGATCACAGCGTTTCCTGTCCCGTTATGCGACAGCAGGTAGTCGATGGAGTTCCTGTTCACTGGACAGATACCTGAGAGGGACAAACAAGGAGATTATTGAAACTGCAGTAAATATGCTCAAAAGGCAAATTTATTATGATCGGTTCTCTTTTATACAATAGCATATATGGGCCATTGTAGGTTTATAACCATATATGCTATAGCTGGTGGAGTTATGCAGTATTCTAATAAACAAAAGTAAAGATTTTCCAAAATTGAAGTCATAAATATCACAAAATATCCAAGAGAAAAGTGTGAGATATTCCCTGAGATTTAGGTTTTAAAATCTATGAGGAAAATCTCATGTCTTCCCTGAATTTGCAGAAGAAAAAGTCAAGGGAACCACATGGCATCACTTTGCCAGGTTTATCACCCTGATCACACAGCAGATGCACATTTGTAAAACTGTGCAAGTGCTAGTGGTCTTTTTATTAGGCTGTCATTATTATATTATATTATATTATAAGTGTTGTTGGACTTTATTTAGTGTCTTTCATCTGAGCAGAATTTAACCAACCCATTCATAAGAACTAACTGCAGCCCAAAAATTTTTTTTTCTTAAAACAGCAGAGGTTTTGTTGATAAGATGACTTATTACCACAAAAGGATTACAGAGGAGAGTTATCTACCAGTCAAGCCTTTTGAAGCAACCTGGGCAATGGCCTACAGTAACCTAGGAGAGGATGTACAGTACATGGCAAACAGCTTCTTAGAACAGAAAACTATCAATCAGTAAAATCAGCACATCCAAGTAAACAGAAGCCATATCAACTGTGCAACAGGACAAAGGTCAGCTCTGTATCAGATACAGTTATCATTTTTACCAGACATTTCAAAAGTCCAAAGGGGACCCCACAGCTTCCAAAAGCATCTCACCTCCAGACATCAGGTAGTCTCGAAGCACGGGCAGGCGGAAATTCCCCGCCAGCGTAGCCAGGGAGGGCTTGATGCCCGGGAATTTGTTGGAGAAGCCGGTGGCCTCCGTCCCAAAGTTGCAGAAAGCCCCAAAACACAGGATGCCATGGGGGTGGTAGCCAAATATGTAGTTCCGGCTGGGCAGCAGGTTGTGGGTTTTAATGAGCTGAAAGACAATGGCACAAGACGGCCAAGTGAGAGGCTGATCTCAATATGAGGCCCACAGAGGCTTCTGAGGAAGCGGGTAGAAGACTAGAGGGCAGAGGCAGTGCAGTTTGCAGAATGTATACTTATCCTAAAGTGCATTGGTTCCTGCCTCATTCAAATTTATTTCTGCATTTTTGGTGGTACCCTCCATGTGTCTGACTGATGGTCAAAGAACCCAAAATATTAAATTTTCTATTAATAATAAGGACAAAAGCAGAAACTGTTTACATCTAGTAGATCATTATTGACTAGATCAATATAGCAACCGAAAACTTATTTTTTAAAAACTTATTATCTAAGCTCTGATGAATGCACTGTGGAAAGACAATAAATCTGTAAAAAAAAAACTAAGTTATGTTTGGCTTCCTGAGTTGTTCCTAGATCTGATTCACCACCATCAAAATTAGATTTTTTTAGGTATAGGTTTTCTGTCTGGAAAGAAAAGGCATTATCAGCTAAAACCTGACTCAACTCCTCTGCCTATTCAAGTCCAGTCATAAAACATCCAGTGTACGCGATGTTCACTTGTTCCGAGTAAAGTACATCTCTCATCCCTCAGTATTAGTTCAACTCTTGGTTTCACATTAAGGCTGTGAACCTGCAGAAAGTCATAAGAAACATTTTAACCGTGCTCTGACCCGCACACTGTAGATTTAGATCCATCACGGTGTGTACACAAAGCTGCCTTGGTAGCTGGTCAAACAACAGTTGCATAAACACATTAGCAAAGGAGCTCACATTTAAGATCCCCATTAGTGCCAGAGGACACCACCTGTATGTCTGCCATGATAGTGGTGAAGGATCACAGTGGGATCAGGGAGACCAGTGGATTTAACACCTCATCTACAGGAGACAGTAAAGAGTCGGAGGCTACACCCACAGAGATTGGTTGCTGCAGAAACGACAGAAGAGTCTTTGTTTTCTGGAGATGAAGTGGACTTGCACACATGTTCACTTAAGAGTCACACTCCAGATTTCCTGCGGTCCTCACTTTGATTTTAAGGCTGAGTTTGAGCAGTTGGCTTCTAACTCACAAATACCAGTCAGAGGTTCACGATAGAAAAATAACTCTACTGATGCCCTGTAGATTCAGTGCCATGCAAAGGTTTGGTTGAAACTTTCTGTTGCTGTGAGAAGTTTCTGTGGGTGGAGATGATGAAGTGATCTCCAAAAGCATAAAGTGAAAGATGAAATTTCCAACATTTTGAGCAAGATTATTAATTTTATATATACGCAAAAGAGATTTTAGGTCTTAGGTTTCCTCAGTTTGAAATATAATTATCAAATGGCAACTAAGAGGAATGGCAGAGGTCAAATAGAAATCTGGCACACCAAGACAACTTTTTGTGAAGAAAAAAACGCTCGGGGCAAATCCAAACCCACAAAGACTTCATGGAGGAGTCTTAAATTTTCTTTTACTGCGTCACAGACTTCAGCATCAGAACTTCATCTAAACAAGCCTGATGCATTCTGGAAACAAGTCCTTAGGATTGATTAAGTTCAAATGTGTGTTTGAAGAAAAAGGGTTCAGGATTTCATGAAAACATGACTCCATCATACAACAGATCCAAACAAATCCATGATGAACAAGCTGACGGTTTTACCATGGCCCTCACAGTCCCCCGACCTAAACATTATCGATCTGTAGATGGGCCTCAAAAGAGCAGTAGAGACAAGACGGCCTAAGAGTCTCAGAAGAATTATCCTTTTTCTAAGATGAATGGGCAAAAGAACTGTAAGACTCTCAGCTGCTACAGAAAGTGTTTACAAACTGTGATACCTGCCAAAGGCAGTGTTACTAATACTGGCCATGCCTGTTGGAGATCAAGTCATTCTACCTCACTTCACTTTGACAGCTGTACACTCAGATTAAGTTTAATCTGCTCACATCAGAACATGTGAGCAGATAAAAACATTTCCCCTTTTTCAGAGAGTCATTAAATAGAGCAGGTATCAAGCTTCTGAGTGACAAAAGAATGATCTCATCAACCCAGCGAGACAAACAGCTACATGGTAAACACAGTGCAGATCAATGTGATGGACAAAGTTCAGCTGCAGAGAGTAGGTCCTATTCTCAGTATGGCACATAAACTCATCAGTGCCTGAGCACTGAAGGGATTTTCATCATTTCAACACAGTGAGTGATTCAGATTTTCAAGAGGAGAAGTGAGAAGTGTTAAGCAGTCTGAGGAGAGGCGAACAAACGTGTGACCAACTACCAGAGGAATGCTCATTAGATCAAATAAATGATTTGACATGGGTTAACGCTAATGTACTACACTCACAGGGGTGAGCTGTTGTGTCAGCATTATCTGTTACAGACACTAAGGAGCTTATGTTTTCACCCCGTCCCTTTGTTTGATTGTAAGCAAGATTATGCAGACTTGGTTGAAGGATGTGGATCACAAAAATTCAGTTTATAATTTTTTTTTTTTTTTTAAAGTAAAGCAACAAAATCTTCTTAGTGGAGAAGCTGGAACCATAAAACATTTAACGGTCCAACTGATTAGTTGTTGGTGATCCAGTAATTGATTTATAAGTCACTGCAGCCTTTGTCTGTACAAGAGTGATGAGTCAATAAGATCCTATAAAGACTGAATCATGCAGAATATGTCAGAGGACACAGATCCTCCCTTTGCACACACACACGTTCAGGGGCAAAATAAGCTCAGCACGGCTCCTCAGCATGTCAGGAGGGACAAAGTTTAAAAGTCACAACCAACGTCAGGCCCTCGTCTTAATCAACACGAGACAAGGAGCAGCATGGAGCAGACAGCTGATACCTGATCAAGCCCTGATAACGTTATGTAATGTTCAAGCTGTATACTGGAAATTGATGAGCTTGCTTTAATGACACACATCACACGCATGATTCAAGCACATTTTCATGGTTTGTTAACGACAGCTATCCTGACGCCTCTGTTCTGCTCATGCAGACTGGGGCTGGATAATTAGCCAAGAAACTGACAGCAACTTACCCTGATTGGGAAGTAGTCTCGGAAATATGTCCACACTGTCCAGCTCCTCACCCAGGAGGACCTCCTTCCACCTGAGGAGGACAGAACAGATTAAAAATCACAATTCATTCAAACCAGAGCTGTAATCTTCATATTTCCTCATCTACGGTGTGCGGATACAGTGTTTAGCCACTGTTAGCCACATTATATCATCAGAAACTGATGTGTGGTTGTTCCTGTTCTCTAAACTGGCGTCAAAGAGATTCCATCCTTATTTTTTTGTTTTTGTTAATGTGAGAAATGACCTTCTTCAATGGTTGTCTTCATTTTGTTCCTTTTATTGACTTAAAAAGGTGTTTTACCATTTAACAGTATAGAGAAGAGTTTTTTATCATAAAGTATTTTATCATTTTCTGTTTGACAAACTACATGAACAATCGATCTGTGACCTAAATAAACATTTTTAATAGATCAACTAAGTGTTTTCAGCTCTGAGTGTGACACAGCCTGCTTCCTTTGCATTCAACCCACAAAATGTGAAACGCTCCAAACATAATGTCGTCCTTGTTGGTGTGAACCATTACAAAATACATTACACAATTCAGATAAAAGTTCAGATATAGGCTCGTCTCTGTGCGTTTATTCATATGGTGTCACGCCAATATCCTGTCTGTGCATTTATCTCTGTACCGTCACACTCAATGTACATTAACAGACTCAAAAAGTACATTATCCAACTGACGCTGTCGGAAAAATCTGACCGCCAGCTTCTCCTGCATCGTGCCTGTACATTTTCACAGAACTGTTGTCATCAGTGCAGGGGGGGGGGGGTTTGAAAAATGTTGTTATTTCTGATCTATAAATGCCTCACCTTGCTTTGGGGTGTTCCAGTCAAAGATGAGCCAGGCCGTGTAAATTGCAGCGATAAGCCAGCAATCAGTGCAGAACGTGTAAATCAGCAGCAAAGTGCAGGCAGCACCTGGGCAGAGGGGGGAGAAGAGAAGAAACATTTAGCTAAATGTTTTGAAATGGCTAAATTATTCAGTTAAAGACCAGAAGCTTTATCAAGGCCCAGAGGTCAAGTGTGAGCCCCTTAGTGTTTTGACCTACTTCCTACGAGCCTAATGAGACAACAAGCTCACTCGACAGGTCTCTGTCTCTCTTATAGCTCAAGTGAAATGCATAGAGGCGCCCACACACAAACACATTTACCCATGGCTAGGAAGCTGATGACCCACTGCAGCACAGAGAGGACCTGCAGATGTTTTTCCATCTTGGATCTGCAGGGCCAGGAGGCCACTGGCAGGACCTGCAGGGCAGAGAGGATACTGGAGCCGGTCCCTGCAGAAACACACGTGTGAGAGGAGACACAGGAGCAGCAGAGGGTTAGTTTCTGAGGTGACGTTAAAATGCAGTACACACGTACGTGTACACACACACACACACACACACACACACACACACACACACACACACACACACACACACACACACAC